CTCCTCGGATATAACATACCGTATTTTAACTATTTACGTTTTGAGGCATTTCGTCTTCTAAATTAATACATAGAACAAACCTTCACGAATCTAGAACAACAAGCAGTCACATCCTAGTTGCTTTCCACGCTGACAGATCTCTCAATTCTGGGACGCATCTGACAAGAAACACAACGCGAGTCTACCTGTTCGAGCACGAATTATCAGCTTCATTGTCAAACCTTTATCATTTCCTAAAGGTGAATTTTCTGAATTCAGTGTCATGTATAGGAATTCTTGTACACATTTCGATTTCTATGAACAATCACATCTGCCGAATTATTAAATGAAGCTAAAGCAAAAAAAAACAGCATTATGGAGAGTTTTCGAGCATTTCCGTTAATAGAGAGTAGTATGTAAAGAGAAAACTGAGCTTGATAGGCAAAAACTGATTTCATATTCGAATTCAGTGTCCAAGTCTTAGCTAAGAACACCATTAACATTATTTGTTACAGAAATGCTGTCGACCAGTGTAATTTTCCGTCGATTTTTTTTCCATCCAATCGATGTTTATAACACTCAGATATTTAAACGCCGTTGATTAACCACGTACGTCTATAACATATAGGGAAGATAAGGGAGGAGGGGGGTAAACAGTTGCATTGCATACTCACCCGCGAGCGCAGTTTCTCCTTGAGGAATGGCTTGAGCACGTTGAAGGCGATGTCAAAGAGGTTGGACTGGTTGATGAAGTGGAACGCCTTGACGCGCAGCGGAACGCAGTCCTGCAACAGGTTACAAAACACCGTGTTCGTCTCCGCTCCTCGACCAACGGCCTTGAACTACTTCTCACATCCCACAACCGCAGTGAAAGGATGTGCGCCATATGTAATTAAAGAACTTAGCTGATCGGGAGAAGAACTGACCCCCTTGCATAAACAATACCGTATCAAGGCGGTATGAATACAAACAATACGCGTTTCTAAGGGTAGTAATAATCTGAAGTGACGTTACTCTTACTGGACTGTTCACTTTAAAAGAAGTTCTCTTGAAAGTGAAGGAGGTTTATAAAACATTGTGAGCGCCCGAGCGAGAGCGAAGGCAGAAAGCAGGTCGCTGAACGCAACACGCTGGATGCGTCGCGAACCACTTTTGTGACAAATGCGTTGGTTATAAAATTGCCTTGAACTATAAAACTGCATTCGTCATGAAAGGTATAACATCCCTTATGGGATCAATTTTTTGTAGTGGCATATTACAATACGTTAAACCACCAAGATTTATTCTTACAGGGTGCGTTGAATTCAGAGGGCAACTATTCTCCTGATCGGAGAGCATCCGTACAGATGAGATGGCACGAACTCTGTGTATATGCATAATGATGAACTATTATTGGACATGGTGTAAGGAATCAACAGAGGTGGAGGGGTACGCCAGTCCCCAGGAGCGTCGAACCCCCGATCTAACAAGAGCATATTCCCATAGTGACGGATCTCCATTTACGTGCGTTTTCTAGTTTTACGTATCAATGCACTCTTAAGATAATTATCCATCAATCTGCCAGATAATGTATTCAAACATTGCGTTTCTTATTTCTTAAACGGTATTCGAAAACAACTGAATCTCTTGAACTTTAAAACTCAATGTGAATTATTTCCCTTCCGCAAAATTGCTTCATGGACCCAGGTCACTTTGGAAAGCAGTCCTTTTTTCTCTCGCCTGCCTCAGAGTATAGTTTCTTTAGTCAAGTGATTGATTATTTTGACACTCATTTACGCCAAACTAAACTAGGGGGGTGCGCAACACGTTCGCTTACCTGCACGAGGTGCAGCAGGTTCTTGGCGAAGGTGGGCGTGAACTTGAGCACCTGCGACAGCGACAGCCCTTCCAGGTCCCACAAGATGACGACGCCGGCCACCTGCGTGCTGGGCTCCACGATGGCGATCTCCAGGAACATGAGCACCGCGCTCAGCAGCTCGTCCATCGTCAGCTTCTTCGGGTCCCACTTGCCTGCGCACGCGCGCACGCCCGCTCGCATTGTTACCACAGTGTGCATTCGTGTTTTTCCATTTCGGCGCTTAACCTCCAATTCACGAGTATGAGCCTTCGCGGGGCAAAGACGATCTAAGGGGTCGTCTTTCCCCAATACATACAGAAATACGTACTATAGGGAAAGTTATGTTGCGGGAAATCGGTTTCGATATTTCAACGGAAATGCGTTTTGGAGCCCCCTAATACTAAAAGTGTTTTTTTTTAAAAAAACGTCCGTCTGTCTATGAATACCAATAGTACCCAAGTACGATGTACGTACTATGAGTACCAAGTACGTACTATGAGTACCAATAGTACGTAGGATATTTTCCAAAATGGATATTCCCCGGTCGTTCTGGCTAGACTCAAGACGCTGCGATTTTGAAAACCTTTCTTTAAAATTTGGAGGGTACTTTACATCAAGTCCCTCAGACATTTTCAAAGTTTTCTCAAAAATGGCTCCAAATTTTTTCTTTAAATTTCTTGTAAAAATAGAGTAAAATACACTTATGAAGGTGGCATAGGTCCAATTTTCATCGCTAACTCAGCATTTTCAAAACAATTGAAATTTTCTTTGTCTTTCTACAACTACAAAAGTAAAGATAAAGATTTTTCCCTCAAATAAAATGTATTTTTCGTAGTGCGTTTTTTTATTACAAGGTCAAGTGCATAATTTTGAATAATTATTTATTCTATCAATATATTTATTTGAAAAAATATCTATCGTAATAAAATATGTTATTCAATATTTTACTGTATGTCAAATTCTCGCAGAAATTAAATCGAAAAACTTTAAAGTTGTGAAAGTGAATAGACTTCATAATAAATGTCAGGCAATTCCTGTTGTGATAATATTGAAAGAAAATAGGCGGCAAGATATATTCAAATTAGATAGACTGTTGTACGTGGTACGTGTCTAACAGCGAAAACGTCTTCCAGAGGCGGCACAACGCGCAAAATGCCAAGAGTATAATTATACCCAAAACTATTGCAATAGAAAACTTCACTGTGCTATTTGTTCACGGGCTGTAAGGAACCAAAAAATACACTAAAGAATGTAAAGAATCGAATAATATTATATCAATATGCACCAATTGCGAAGCAAATGGTCACAGTGCAAATGTAAGATTGAATGCTTGTTCATACTGTAGCAAAATTGCAAAATGTAAATTAAACAAAAACGGCAAGGCAACTAAAAATCCATCTCCAATCAATAATAATAATAATAATAATAATAATAATAATAATAATAATAATAATAATAATAATAATAATAATAATAATTTCTCTTCAACCTAGGAATTTTCCTCCCCTGTTTCCCACTAACAAAATTCCTAATTCTATTCCTTCAACTTATTCACAAAATCCTCCTCCCACCTCAATCAATGTTAATGATGCTTCATTAAATATTTCAACTAACAATTAAAATATAAATTTTAACTTAATTGGTAACTTAACTGTCAAGGTATTCTCAATAAACGTTCTGAATTTAAAATTTTCTAGCTTCACATGATAATGACAGAACATGTTTAACCGAAACTCACTTAATTCCTTCCAAACCTTTTAGAGTTTATGGTTACAAATATCACGTGTCCGACTAGATGTTCCATCAGGTGGAGTTTTAATTCTAGTCATATCCGGATTTTCATCATATAATTCGCCTAATAAACAAATGACTGCAACACGTCTTCAAGACATTTTTAAGCTAAAGGCTCATATTAACTTACTCGACGATTTAAATACAAAATACACTTCTTGGGGTTGTAGAAGTGGGAGCTGACAAGAAGTTACCCCCGTCACACTTCGCTGTGTGTTACTCGGTCAATCGTCTGTAGAGCCTCGCGGCTGAACGTTGCTGAACGCTGAATCCCAAGAAGCCGAATCGTTTATCTCTGAAGAGGTTACCTCCACCACCACCACAATCTTAATGCATTCCACCAATCTTTAGAAAGATATATTGAAGTCTTAACGTATTCCGCTACATTTTAAAAGTCACGAGACGCCGCGAAAAGTCTCTCCGGCGACGAGCCGGGGCTTCCCATCTTTGCCGCGTTGCTTTGCAGTTGCTTCTTACTTAATTTTTAAAATGCTGTTAAATACGCGAAATGGTAGCATTGTGATGAATACCTGCTCACTGTGTGGGTTCCTTCCTTACACATAATCCTCGAATATAGCATTAAACAAAACCTAGTGCGTAAGATACGGAGATCTGGGCATACGAGGCATATGACGAGTCTTTTACCACGTGTTTCGCCTGATTTACACCAATGAATCAGCCAATTTACTACAGTAGGTCAGTAAGTATTTGGAATGTTTGTGCCTCAAGTGTGTTAGTACCAAAGCTTCTAAAGGATTCGTCAAAAATGCCGGGAGAGCTTCTTGGATTAGGAGGCGTATTGTGAAGCTCCGCACTGAGGCACGTAGGCTGAAAGATTTGTGCAGCAGGGTCCGTTGAATAGGTCTACTCGTAGTTTCGTCGAGTCACTGTCGTCTCGTAGAGTGGATGACGTTTCAGATCGATGACATGTCATATTGGTGTCGTAGGATTGTTCTTATGTTGTTGGGACGGTTCGGTCTCGTCGTATCGGCCTGGTCTGGTCGGGTCGGTCTGGTCCTGTGGGGTCGGTCTGGTCTCGTGGGGTCGGTTTTTTCTCGTGGGGTCGGTCTGGTCTTGTGGGGTCGGTCTGGTCTCGTAGGGTCGGTCTGGTCTCGTGGGGTCGGTTTGGTCTCGTGGGGTCGGTTTTGTCTCGTGGGGTCGGTCTGGTCTCGTGGGGGTGGTCTGGTCTTGTGGGGTCGGTCTGGTCACTTGGGGTCGGTCTGGTCACTTGTGGTCGGTCTGGTCTCGTCGGGTCGGTCTGGTCTCGTCGGGTCGGTCTGGTCTCGTCGGGTCGGTCTGGTCTCGTAGGGTCTCGTTACTTTGCGTCGGTCTCTTTCGGTCTCGTCGGGTCGATCTTGACACGTATGGGAATGGGTCGGATATACTCACGACCTGTTTGCAGAAGTAGCATGCGCCGCCCGAACTGGTCTCGGCGCGGCAGGATGCAGACGGTGCCCGAGTTGGCGACAACGTCCAGACGCGACATGGGCAGCGGCCTACCGACGTGAGGGTTCCGGGCCTTGAATGCGTAGAAGTTGCACATCTGTAACGCACACACACACACACCATATCACGTCACTGGAGACCGAAAAAATATGTAGTATGAAATGGCAAAATATTTACATAAATAAGTTATGAAAAGGATAAGAATGTGTAGCAAATGTATAATATCAAAATGTGCTCTTATTTACTGAACATCTACAATGTAAATTTACACAATTTGAAGTTTTATTAATAAAATATTTATTAAAACAAATTTTAAAAATACATTTCTTGCCCTATATATTAATTTTTGAAGAGTACATTTTATGTTTAAGGGCAACTAGCCATCGTTTAAACGAGGGAACTCAATTACCGGCAAACAATTCAACGTACTCTTCGAAGTGATCCACACCTGCCTGTGCCAATAATAAGATCAAGAAACATCACGATTAATGGTACTTTCCATATATTAAGGTAATCTCAGCGCTCACGCGCATTTGATGCTATATTTGTAGGCAGTGCAAACGGTGGTTAATCCAAGCAGACTGCAAGCGCGTCAACCCGCGTCTTCCCGACATAATCAGTTTTGCTGCTGATGTTTTTTAAAATAAAACTATTTTTGAAAATTCATAAAATATTTTTTGGAAATGATTTCAGAATAATTGTTATAATAATAAATAGTTTCTTAAATTATGTAAAATATGTAATACAGTAAATAATATTTTAAAAATACGGAAGGAAAACTTTAGATAATATATTAGGATTGCGGTGGTCCGCACAATTGTGAGAACTGCAAATAGACAAAATTGACACTGTGTCTCAGGTCGAGTAGATGCTGAGAATATGAATAAAAGGGCACGACGTAGCAACGTGGCCGTTTCGGTAAATACTCGTAAATTTAGAACTACCAACTGTTTGGGTCACTGTACTTCACGTGTCTTGAAAATTACAGATCGCAATACATCCACCTATTGTTAGTTGAGGTGAATGTTCGGCCGATTTGTCAGACTTCTCTGTCTTAAAAATATTGCCAGCAATTAAGTTCTTTAACTATTCATATTTAAATCAGAAGGAATTTTTTGTGAAATTTGCATTGAAATCAAGTATTTTGTTCTAAATGCATAACTTATAAGGTTTCTACTATCAAATTAGAAGATATTTATAATTACTCATTGTTAAATTATTGTGATGTTTTATTTTAATTATTGTATTGTAATGTTTTTCAATAATGTAGATATTTCTATCGATTTTTGTAGGAGGTGAGAATAATAAAAGAGGATAGGGAGAATCAGCATTTCGATTATCATCTCCGAATTGCTGAGAATGCGTTAACTTCAAGTAGGCGAATGTGGATTTTTTGGGACCGAAATGTTGCCGGTGTTATCCAGTAAGTTTCCGAAATGTTTTTCTCTCTCCCCACAGTAAACGCTGGAGGACGGTTACGCTGAACCGGATTGGTGGTGGGAAGTCTCTAGTAAGCATAAAAAATTGGTTTAGTCTCCGGAGTGTGTGGATCGCTTGTGCAGTGAGGCACTGTTGACGTCACACGTCATGGATCAATATGCAGAGAAATCTCAAACAGCGTTACATCACGTTTTGCGGTAAATTCGGAAAAATCGCTACTGAGACAATTAAAATGCTTCAGTTGGCTTACGGAGACGAAGATCATGAACAGAACAAAGGTTTTTGAGTGACATTAAGAATTTTATTTTTTACTGACACGCTATAGCTTGTGATACGGAGCTCGATATACCTGGATCAAAACTTACTTGTATAATGTACCTGGATCGAAAACATCATGATTATGAGGAAAATATGTTCTCTTATGGCAGGGAATTATGGGTGGTAAATATGAAAAGACAAACCGAGACAAGTTATCTTCTAGTTAATTACTAAATCTGAATCAATAAAACTAGGTAAAAATAAAATTATTTATGTACCACGGGCGTTAAGTGGTTCTAATGATCTCTGACCAAAGGCCCCCGGGCTTTTTGTCGCCGCTCGATCATTAGAACACTTACAACGCTCTTTATGCGTAAATAAGTATAAGGAGTCCCGAGAAGACGCCCGAGACGATCAACGCGCAGGACGACCTGTTTCAGCAACAACCAATGAAAATGAAACCAAAGTGCGCAACCTTTTTGACTGTGACCGTCGCTTAAATGCGCGTTTAGTTACTCAGGCATTAAACCTTAGAAAATCTAGCGTGCATTTAATTGCGACAAATCATTTTAAAATCCGAAAATTCTGAATGAAGTTTATGCCAAAGGTCTTGACATTTGATCAAAATAAAAGTCGTTAAACGGGTTGAAATGAATGTATGGGGCGTGTATAAATCCAACGATTGTCTGAAAAATGTGATAACTGGAGACAACTTGAAGTTGTAGCACTGTTCGGTATTTCGCTGCATATTGATCCGTGAGACGTGACTTCAAAAAAGACTCACTGCCCGCGATCCGATCCACTCACATACTCAGGAGGCTCAGAGGCAACTAAACCAATTTTTACCTTCTTGCAGATACTAGAGACTTCCCACCACCGATCCGGTCCAGCGCTTCCTTTGGGGAGTGAATATCACTACGGAAACTTTTTGTTAAAACTTATTTGAATTCAGCCAAGCGCGGCGTCGCTGCGCGACTTGGCGCTCACCTTCTGGAACGCCGAATCCGGGTACCAGTGGCAGGGGCGCAGGAACGTGGTCATGTACTCGTCATCCAGCGGGACTACCAACTCCTTCTCCTCTGTGACATAAACATTGCACTGCCTTCAGAAATTTGCCGTAACTAACTTCATACCTATACCGTGTGTCACCAGCGTGACACTATTCTTTTGCTTCTGTAGGAACGTTTTATCTTATGCAATGGTTCCCAACGGCGTCGCTATCAACCCTCTAGAGGTCGATGGAATTTTAAAGGCGGTCAATAATATTCAAGGGGTCGATAAGGCGTTTGTTAGCCGAATATACACAGGGGAATTGATTTCAAAAAATATATATAAATGGTTATCTTATAAAAGGTTCAAAACATCAAATAATACTTATTTATTTTTTAAAATGCAAATTATAATAGTTCAAAAATAATAAATCATAAACCTAATAAACATTTTTTAAACTTTTTTATATTATTTTTGTAATTGTTATCAAGTTATTTATATACAACCCTTGTGTTACGATTATTTTATATGCACGGTGAAAAGGCAAGGGGTTCGATAGAACAAATCATTCTTTTAAAAAGGTTCGATGCAAGAAAAATATTGGAAATCCATGTCTCATTATGTACGAAATTTGAAAAATCAAATAGTTTTTACTTGTTGCCAATGAGCATGTGGTAGAAAATTTCATACGAGTATAATGAAGATAGAAATGCAACATTTGCCCCTGATAATTAAGCAATCTGTCTTGCAAAGGTGTTCGGCAGGTAAGTGAATTCTCTTTGACTGCATCATAACAAGTTGTCGAACACCAGTGTATGAGGAGTTACTTAACAATCAGGAGCAAATGTCATAAGTGTAATTTCCCGCCGCATGTTCATTGACAAAAAGTGATCATCTTCGACTCTCTTCATGTCCTAGAAGTTTGTAACATATTATGAGGAATTCAGTATTGCATACATGAATATTGAATTAAAATACATTAGAATACTAAAAAAATACACAGAAAGCCTCATTTCCTGTATCTTCGTACTATTTTTTAATAAATTGTGATAATGACTGCAATATTGTGTCGTTAAATTGTTTCTCCGTCTAGGACAGCGACCACCCATACGGCGCGTGCTGGTGAGGCGACCTGACAAGGGGAAGAATTTAATTAATTGATACATGACATTTGGGGGAAGAGCTTGCCAAACCTACTGGAAACGCTATAAATGATTCATCAAAAAACAAAACCTACAATTATTTAATTCTCCTTGAATTATATTTTCTTTATTTGCTTGTAAAATAAGATATTTGTAAATGAAAAATAATAGAATAGAGGACCAATAGGACGCAAAAATTTAGGTGGCCCACATCATGTTTTTTGGGTGCGCCAGCGAAGATGAGGATGATAATGATGAAGATGATGATTACGATGACGATAATGATTGTGCGCCTCTGGCTGCTCATGGACACCGTGGTAGCTTTCTTCGAGGTGGTCCCGGGGTCTATTCCCGGCAGGAACATAAATGAAGCTGTAGCTTTCTGAAACAAATCGCCTTATTTTTGTATAACTGAGTGACGAAAGAATGATCACGTAGGCCAAGAAAGCTAGGTACAGTGATCGGAAAGCGTCTTGTTCGGCACATGTCTCCCCAACCTCCAGGCGGGAACTGTAAATGAAAAGCAGGGTCCAGGCCTGGGAAAACAGCTAGCTACCAAAATTGGTACTGATCTCACCCTAAAATGCCAAATACTTACATTATTATTATTATTATTATTATTATTATTATTATTATTATTATTATTATTATTAGCCACTTCTGATCACGCTACCCGTTCTCTTACGGGATCGTCACATTCTCTACGGGAGAGAGATTAACGTGTTTAATTATGGGGATCTGGTTTTCGGCTGTAACCCTTGGCAAGACAAGGTCGTTAAGCCTTGCATTATGGATTATGAGACGATAAGATGATAATAGGTAATCGTAGCATTTTCTAACCAATCCAATTATTTGCCTGCATGACCGAGGGAAATCTCCGAGGAAAACCCCGGTCAGGGTGGCCGGTTAGCGAAGTCAACGCGCAACGCATTGAGCCCCTTTGCCCGGTTTATTATTAGCATTATTATTATTATTATTATTATTATTATTATTATTATTATTATTATTATTATTATTGGCTTATAGGCCATTACTCACTCTTTTTTTGTTATCTAAGGTCGCATCAACTTCTAGGTCATTAGCAACCACTATTGCTTGTAACGGTATGGCAACTATGAGGATGATACGATATGATGATGATGATAGGGGTGAAAGGACAATTACAATACAACCATGCCCGAGGCGGGACTCGAACCCGCGAAGCTTCGGTCGGAGATCGCTACGCCACTACGGCCATCCGGACCGGCATTACTGACTTTGCTACACGATTAACGTGTGTATTTTTTTGAGAATCAGCTTTTCAG